GGGGTTGATATTGGAGTTTAATGTTCTGATTATATTAGGCACAGTAATAAGTGTGTATATGTATTTTGTATATTAAGTAAGTTCAAGCTTCTGTAGAGTAGTGGGCTGTGTTGTCTGGTGCTGGAGTTTGTGATCAACTGCACTGCTGCTTTTTGTTGGGTTATTAAAGGTTTAAGGTGAATGGCCATGGTAGATCCCCAAGCACAAATACCATAGGTGAGGTAAGGGTATATTAGAGAGTGATATAAAGTAAGGAGCACCCTTTGGGGTACATAATATCATATCTTGGAAAGATACCTACTGTTTTGGAAATTTGTTAGTTATATGCTGGATGTGGGTCTGAAATTTAAGATTACAGTCAAGTTCTGCCCAGGCAGGCCACTGAGTTGTGAGACTTATTGTGCTTATTTTCCCCCTTCCTTATATTTGCTTAGTATAATAAGGACAATATTTTGTTAATCTAAATATTTTAGATGCTTCTGCTGCAGCATTTACTTTTGTGGTAAGCAGTAGTGGGATATGAATTTTGTTGTAATTTAATGTTGTACACATTATGGGAGGAGATTCTAAGATGCCTAATTTATTTTTTCCAGACTGACGGTAAAACAAGACTCGAGAGGCAGGAAAGAGGTGAGAGGAGTAAGAGATGAAGAAGGCAGGCAGGATGTGTGCTGGGTGAACTAATCCGCAATGCCTAATTGGTGTCGACGACCTCGTATTCACCGACTACTGCTTATTGGTATGCATGCCCCAGGAAGCAATATATTAGCCTGGTTCTTAAGTACTGCACAGGTTTGAGTCTGCCTGAAATGCTTTCCATAATTTTTTCCAGAGCTCGGTCATCACTATTTTTTTAAGAAATAAAATTTGACTTTGACTAATATAGTACATGCCACTCTGACTGCTGTATCTTAGCAAGTGAGAACGTCTCATTATGTTGCTCTAGTGCAAATATTGAATGCATAAATTATGTACTACCAACGAGGAAACACCACTGTTCATGTACATTAAACGCCCAGTCTGCTGGCCTCAGTGCCTCTTAACCTACAGGTGGGTATAACTTAGGACTGCCCAGCATTGACCTGCAGATCTACTGCAGTTCTTCTTAATAAAGGGGGAATGGCATATGAGAGTAAAAATAAGAATGGGAAAAATGGATATACAGTAGAATCCTTGTATCCACTGATTCAGTCTCTGTGGTTTCAGTTATCCACGGTTTACTGTGGTCCAAAATTACCTCTTAATTTTACATAATAATGGCCCCGAAGCTCAAAATTAGAGAAGTTGGCAGTTCTTCAAAGCCTAAGAGAAGCCGTGAAGTGCTTCCCATCAGTGAAAAAGTGATAATTCTCCACTTATTCTGCATAATTTATCAATTAAACTTTATAATAGGTATGTATAGGACTTGTATATAAGGTTTGCTACTATCCACAGTTTCAGTATCCACAGCAGGTCCTAGGAACGTATATCCCATGGATATGGGGGTCCCACTGCAACCCACAAACTTAAACAAATAAAAGTTGACACAGGTACTGTACTTTTTGCTGATTATACTGTGCTTTTGGGAGATTTTTAAAGAGAAGTTGCAGTGGTTAGTGGACAAGTTTGGGAGGATGTGTAAAGGAAGAAAGTTGAAAGTGAATATTACATAAGAGTAAGGTGATGAGGGTATCAAACGAGTTAAGTAAAGAAAAATGGATTATTGGAGAGAGGAAGTATGGAAGAAGTGAATGTGTTCAGATATTTGGGAGTAGCACTTGTCAGCAGATGGGTTTTATGAAGGAGAGGCTAACCATAGAACTGACAAAGGAAAAAAGGTGGGTGATTCATTGAAGTATCTGTAGCAACAAAAACTTAATCCATGGAGGCAAAGAAGGGAATGTACAAGAGTATATTAGTTCCAACTCCCTTATGTGGTTCAATACCCTTATGTGGTTGTTTTAATATGGGTTGTAAATGCAGCAGGAGGAGGCTGGAGCAGTGGAGATGTTGTGTCTAAGGGCTGTATGTGGTGTAAATATTATGCAGAGATTTTGTAATGTGGAAATTAGGAGGTGTGGAAATACTAAAAGTATTATTTAGAGGGCTGAAGAGGGGTTGTTAAGGTGATTTTGTCATTCAGAGAGGATGGAGCAAAAACAAGGATGACTTGGAGGGTGTATAAATCTGTAGTAGAAGGGAAGAGGGGTAGGGGTCATCCTAGGAAGGGATGGAGGGAGGGGGTAAATGAGGATTTGTGTGCAAGGGGCTTGGACTAACAGCAGGCATTTGTGAACATGTTAGGAGTGAACAGTTCTTGCTGATGCAGCAGTTTTCAATTATACCCATTCTTTGATTATTCAAACTTCCTGCAGTAAATATATTCGTCACACACTATAAGCTAAGGATGAAAATATTGTAAGGGAAGTAATGTGTGTACTATATATGCATATTTTAGGCCTAGCTCTATTGCTCACTTAATATATGATAATGTAAACATGTTATTGGTCTTTTATATGGATTTGAATGTGAAAAAATGATTGTTTCAATTTACAGCAGTTTTTGCTTTATAGCAGTAGCCCAGAACCCAGCCTGCTGTGTAAGTGGGGCCTGTCTGTATATTTCATGTGGTTAGTATTGACATTTATAAGGAATAATGACCAGAGTAAAAAGTGGATTTGGGCATGGGAAAGCCATTGAACCGAAAAAAAATTGGATAATTCAGTATTTTTGTTGGTTTCCCAACAGAATTTAATTTAAAATACTGAATTTAGATAGGCATATGGTGCTTGGTCCACTGATGCTTGAATGATGGCAAACAACATACCTGTGCCGCAGATATCTTTCTGGAGATTGGTTCACTTGTTAATGTATTTATTCAGTCTTGTGAGCCAGTCAAGGGCCTGTTTGAATTGGAGGGTAGAAAGGTAGTAATAAAAATAAATTCTGAATAAGGGCTGGTCATATTAGGGAATTTCTACTGTATAATGGCAAGTAAATAAATAATTTATACATATACAGATATGCATGTGTACAGTGACAATATTTTAGCCTAGTAGGAACCTTGGTGGTTTGCAGTGTTGGTGGTTGGGACAGCGCTGGTGTTTGTGAGTCTGCTGCTGGCTGCTGTGGGTGAAGATAATGATGACTCTGACACCTGGCCTCCACACCATCTCCCTCACCACCAACATCGGCACTACAGTCAACATGCCCCAAAGATGACACAAGACCTGGTGAGTCATATTATTAATAGTAGTAGTTGTAGTTGAAGCAGTGGCACTAGTAGGAGTGGTCTCAGTAATAGTTTTTGTAGTGGTTTTAGTGACTTGTATAATACAGAACCTATATAATATATAATGCTGTACCTGTGTTGTAACCAGTTACTTAAAGAATCCACAGAAAATAAACAAAAACATGTTAAAACAATTCAGGTAAAAAGGACTGTAATCATGATATATTGATCTGTTCTTAGCTCTGTCTTGTCTAATCCCTAATTTCCTCTTCCCCTCCTCCCCACTCATTTGCATGTGTGCATGTGGAGGTTGGTCCTGGGGTGGTAGTGAGTGTGGTGGAAGAGGAGAGCTTGCTGGAGCGTCTGTTACCTGGTGGCGGTGCCCCGCACACCCTGCTCATCCTCAACATGACTCATCCACCCTCGCCAGAACTTCACTGCCTCAATACCAGGTCAGGCATTAGCATGAGGCTTTTCCTGTGAATTTATCCTAAAAGTATTGTTTATAAAATTGTCTTTTTAAAGATTTTTTGTGTATAAAAATGGGTCAGTTACATACAGTATTGTTCTAATTATCTTCTTCTTTCAACAAACTGGCCGTATCCCACCATAGCAGGGTGGTCTAAAAAAGAAAAACAAAAGTTTCTCTTTTTGACTTTAGTAATGTAAACAGGAGAAGGGGTTACTAACCCCTTACTCCCGGCATTTTACAACACACCTGGCTTACGGAGGAAGAATTCTGTTCCACTTCCCCATGGAGAATAGGAGAAGGGGTTACTAGCCTGTTCTAATTACATGTATATAATATTTTTTAATTTATCTTATTTAACCCTTAAACGGTCCAAAGAGATTGACGCTCAAATCCGTAGTGCTACAAAAGTAGATCTACTTTTTTTTACATATTTTCAAATATAACAAAAAAAAATGTAGATAAAAGTTTTTTTACACGTTTTCAAATGTAAAACAAAAAAGAAGATCTACATATTTTTACATACTTTCAGATGTTGAAAAAACGTATATATACGTTTGGACCATTTAAGGGTTAATGTAGAAAATAATAATAATAAACTGTTGTCCAGAGGGCTGAGGAAGGGTTGTTGAGGTGGTTCGGACATGTAGAGAGAATGGAGCGAAACAGAATGACTTCAAGAGTGTATCAGTCTGTAGTGGAAGGAAGGCGGGGTAGGGGTCGGCCTAGGAAAGGTTGGAGGGAGGGGGTAAAGGAGGTTTTGTGTGCGAGGGGCTTGGACTTCCAGCAGGCATGCGTGAGCGTGTTTGATAGGAGTGAATGGAGACAAATGGTTTTTAATACTTGACGTGCTGTTGGAGTGTGAGCAAAGTAACATTTATGAAGGGGTTCAGGGAAACCGGCAGGCCGGACTTGAGTCCTGGAGATGGGAAGTACAGTGCCTGCACTCTGAAGGAGGGGTGTTAATGTTGCAGTTTAAAAACTGTAGTGTAAAGCACCCTTCTGGCAAGACAGTGATGGAGTGAATGATGGTGAAAGTTTTTCTTTTTCGGGCCACCCTGCCTTGGTGGGAATCGGCCAGTGTGATGATAAAAAATAATAATAAAAAAAATAATAACAGCCAGTGCTTCATTTCTTCAGAAATATTCACTATCCCCTAAAGCTGGAGTCTCCAAACTGTGGCTTACCACGAGATTTTATGCAGCCCACAGCAACTTGAAATATTTATAATTAGTAATTAGTAAACTTGTGGATTGGATCTTAGGGGTGGTATACTATACCTGAGGTAAGATAACTTCTTTTTCACCTGTACAGATGTAGGTGTATGGCTGATGGCTACCGTAACACTGGCATTTTTTAAACTATGTTTATAAATAATCATACAGTTTACTATATCTGTGTAAGAGAATTGCATAAATATAGAGGACCTACATTAAAATATGCAATAAATCCTCAATTTAACAGACTTTGGTGACATGAAACACAATCTACTGGGTCATTTGATTAATTAATGGAAAAAGTACATTGGTTCCAGAATTGTACATTATGGTTGTGGCTAAACAGTCGTGTATCTATCCACTGCAGCTGCAATTACTGGCCTCCCTCTTTTTTCCATTAGTCTCTTTAATCAAGGGTTTCCTGTGTTAAAAATATAGCAGGAGCCACTAATGATTTCATCTTCATACTGAAATAATTTTTTGCATATACTGTATGGTAATGGTGTAAGTGACTTTTGCAGGTGTGATCCCGAGTACCCAGTGTGTCCTCATGATGCTTCCAATGACAGGTACATCTCTCAGCAGCTACTGAGAGAAGGCACCTGGGAGCCACACATCATCACACTCTTCTCAGCTGCTTTGGCCTACTACCCGTGAGTATTACATTGTATCTCTATAATAAATAAATAAATAAGCAAGCCATTAACTAAATACATATACCTGCGTGAGCAGGGTAATATTTTGTGAAGGGATTCAGGGAAACCGGTTAACCGGACTTGAGCCTGGAAGTGGGAAGTACAATGCCTACACTTTAAAGGAGGGGTTTGGGATATTGGCAGTTTTGAGGGACATCTAAACTATAGTATCTGGGCACCTCTGCAAAGACAGTGATTATGTATGAGTGATGGTGAAAGTGTTGAATGATGAAAGTTTTTTTTTTTTTTGGGGGGGGGGGGTGTTCTTTTTGGGTCACCCTGCCTCAGTGGGAAACGGCCGACATGTCAAAGAAAAAAAAAACTGTATGGGAGCAGACTGCTTTGAAGATGTTTTACTTGAAGCATTGTAAATCAGGTCTCTAATATGTGCTACTTTTGAGCTATACCATGGGTTCAGTGTTACATCCTTACAGCACACAAATTCCATGGACCAGTCCTCTAACACCTTGTACAGTACATGGTCTTTATAAGGACATATGCAGAGCAAACTTTTATTATGACAATGCCTCAGCATTAATAGAGCTTTACAGAGAGAAGAGCATTGTCACAAGTTAAAACTTGCTTGATATTTGTCCTTCATTACTGTCACTAGTATGCTTTGTATCCAATACATTTGCATTGTGGAATAAGCTATGTAACAGGTCTGGTGGCCTTGCCCCAACAGGTCAAGCACTGTGGTTGATCTAGGTGCTCATGTAGGTGTGTACAGCCTACTAGGAGCACGGTTGGGTGCATGGGCGGTTGCGGTGGAGCCAGTGTGGTCATCAGCAGTAAGACTACATGCTGGTGCTGTGGCTGGGGGGGTGGCCAGCAAGGTCACCATTTTGCTTCATGCAGTAGCTGACCACCGTTTCCATGCTAAGGTCAGTGGGAGACAGATGAATCGAGATAATCAGGAAATGTGTTGTAGGTAATTTTTCAAGGGTCATTTATCTAAGTGTCCAAGATGTGTGACATGATCACAGTAGTAGTAGGTCACTAGACAAGGACATGTTAGGTTACCAGTGTCAGTATATTAATTTAAAATCATGTTAGTCTGGGAGCTCTCATGAGGTCATAATCAACTTAAAAAGGACAGGCTATCAAAATTGTGTAATGTATCACACTGACAAAGCAAGATGTGACTGCTTATGCAGTAACTGATACATCATAGATATTGTCAAGGTTGTTACATCACAGTGGTTTTACTATGAAAATATTACAAGCATGTTACATTCTATAAATATTGATATTTTGTTCTTAAAAAAATAAGTTTATTATACTATTATTTTTATATAGTACAATATTTATATTGAGGGGGGAAGTGCTAACCCATAAGGTCATACAATGCTTGGGAAATGAGTTAATTATTTCTTAATTATTGTTACCTTATTTATACTTCAACAGCATGTGAGGCCATGAAACCTTGTGAACCCACTCATTTTGATCAAAAACGTTCATAAAAGCCTATTGAATGCTGAACCCCTAGCACTCAGAACCTCCTTTATCCCCTCCCTCAAACTTTTCTTCTGGAATGACCCCTTCCCTTCCTTCTATCCCAGTTCTATACATTGTCATTCTGCTTTGCTCCATCCTCTTAAATGCCCCAACTGCTTCAAGAACCCTTCCTTCTTTCAACAAATCTTTGTTAACTCCTGAATTCTCTGCCACATTGCTTTTAGTAACCTAACAACTATTCCATACATTTGCACCATTTGCCACATTGCTCTCTTATCAGCCCTATCTTATGTAAAGTAAAAGGACACAAGTGCAACTAATGTGACATTTTTATTGTGGCAACGTTTCGCTCTCCAGGAGCTTTGTCAAGCCGGCTTGACAAAGCTCCTGGAGAGCGAAACGTTGCCACAATAAAAATGTCACATTAGTTGCACTTGTGTCCTTTTACTTTACATATTGTCGGTAATTCTACCAACATTATTACAACCCTATCTTATGCCTTTTCCAAATCCATAAAGGTAATAGACAGTTTTCTTACCTTTATCTAAATATTATTTACTTGCATGTGGTATATACATCCCCTCATCTCTGTAAATTCTCATTACTCTTTTGTGGTCTTACTTGCTGTCTTACCTCTACCTCTGTCAGTAATAATTCTGTCATATATTTTACACAGTATACTCGTGTACTACTGTGACTAATGGCCTTGTCTCCACTTTCTGCAGTTTACACTACCGTGAGGGTAACCTTGGTGGAACGTCAGTAGTGAAGGCAACACCGAGGGAGGCAGAGATCATCAGGAAGTCACGACCTCATGACCAAGTCACCACAATCACTTTGGATCACCTCAAGTCATTTGTCAACACTTCTCATGTCCTCCTTAAGATTGATGTTGGTCAGTTGATGGTTCATCATTATGATCATTATTGTCATTATTATAAGCACTACTTTTATTAACATGGAACAATAGCTACAGTGTGTCTTACAAAGAAACTAAAAAATTACCCATAATTTAATTTAATTCCCTCATGCTAGCTTCCTCATTTCATCCACCCAGTGGTAAGATACTTGTCTCTCTCTAATAAAACTGCAAAACTTCCTTATGTAAGCCAAATGCATAATTACCCAGTTAGGTTTGTGAGGGTTGAGCACAGCTGCCGGATCTACCTTGTAACTTTTGATTGAATTTTTTTGTTCTCTCTCAGTACTCACTGTACTTTTAATTCCCTGTACAGTTCTTCTTATGTCATTTCCTAGAGCATCCTGCTCTTTCACTACCTTCCCTTTTCAAGGGTTTTTAACTTCATATAAAATATGTTTTTGCTTAAATTTTACCTTAAAATGTAGTTTAGAGCAGGTTTGTTTTAAAAATTATATTTTGTGTTTCTGCATAATATAACATAACACTTAAGAGTGCTTTCTGTTGTCTTTTTTTTTTTTTGCATGTAAAGATGCAGAAACTTTCTAAAGTTTTTTTTTTTTTTTTTTTAAAGTTTGAGATTATCCTACTATGATTTATTTCAAAGCCATCACCGGGATGTGACCCACAGCAGAAATCTAGCACTTGGGCATCTATTTACTGTTAGATAAACATGGGCAGGAAGTGTAAGGGAAAATTTTACCATATGTCTTGTCCCAAGCGAGTATTGAACTTGAGTCATTTGAGTGTTAGCGAGCATTTTAAACCACTGAGCCACAAGTCACTTTATGCACTTGGCTAGATAAAGGTTCTACATTGGTGCTACGTATCAAGGATTAATCTTTCACATGTTATGTATATACTTAGCATTATTAAAAATTACTTGTTCAGGTTTCTGAAATGCTGTTCTAATGTTTAAATTTAAGCCTTATAGTTGTCACTAATGCCATCTGTTGGTTTTTTGAAGGACGGGTTTGGACATGGTTCTGACTCGTAGTGAGCTGCTGAAACAGCATTGGATTGGTAACAGGTCGTTCTCTGCTCTTCTTGTTCCTAGTACCTGATCATGATTCATCTACTGTAGATGTACTATCAACACTAGAGCTACTGTAATCAATAGAATTCCAACACCCCTTGAGTGCTCATACTTGACAAAACCAACCAAGTTTTGAGTTTTCTACTTCTTGTTAATTTATTTGTCAGGGTAAAAGTACCTGACATGGGCTTTAATCATGCACGTGATGACCCACTCATTGTTATTACAGGCAACTTGAAAAAAAGGGCATTGGTTACATAGTTAGCTGCCTTTAACTCAGTCAAAAGATTGTGCCCATGGTACAGCGCTTGGCTCTCTTCACCATGAGTAAGGCTGCTACGAGATGTGTTCTCGTACAAACCTCGTACTAATCCCCCATTTTTTAACTTGAAGTTATCGTGGGGGTGGGTATGCTGTTGGGGTGGGCGTCAGTATCCTTAGACCATTTATCCCCTAGGAATTGAGAGAGGACTAGTTTGGCAGGCTCCTCATGCATTGTAAGGTGTTTGTATTGTGGGGAAATGCATCACAGTCATTAATAATAATACGTGTGAACGTATATCAATGCGCCCAGCACACACGTATCAAATACTTAGAGCAAGTCTGACCGCCCACCCAAAACAGACATTCTTCTTCTTTCTACAAACCAGCCATATCTCACCGAAGCAGGGGCAACCCAAAAGAAAAACAAAAGTTTCTCTTTTTAACTCGAGTAATGTATAGAGTAGAAGGGGTTACTAGCTCCTTGCTCCCGGCATTTTAGTCCCCTCTTATGACACACATGGCTTATGGAGGAAGAATTTTGTTCCACTTCCCCATGGAGATAAGAGGAAATAAACAAGAACAAGAATTAGTAAGAAAATAGGAGAAAACCCAGAGGGTGTGTATATATATGCTTGTACACACATGGGATAGTGTGACCTAAGTGTAAGTAGAAGTAGCAAGACGTACCTGAAATCTTTCCCTGGTTATGAGACAGAATAAAGACACCAGCAATCCTACCATCATGTAAAACAATTACAGGCTTTTGTTTTATACTCACTTGGCGGGGTAGTACTTTTC